TGTGTGTATATACATATATATATATATGTATATATGTGTATGCCCGCAAAAAAAAAAATAAGCATATTTGTAAGAAGATGAAACCTTGTGGTAGCCTCTACTTGCCAGACCTCCTGCGGATTGCCATGGAGGGGCCTTTTGGTCAGTAGCTGACTTAAACGGATTGCCATGGGCGAACTCCTCCCAAAAAGGGGGCTTGAAGGTCAACTATTTGAAGAATCCTGAAGGATATGAAGATGTCAAGTGAGCCATCGGCGTCCTTTCAAAATGTCCAAAAAGTGTCTCCGAGTCCTGTGTGACATCTTTTCCTCCTAAATCTCGGCTGGCTTGTGCAAATCGGAAAATGGCCATCACTTGCTCGCTTGCTCACCCACAACCTCCCCGTAGGGGCAGCGAAAATCGAGCCATTCAAAACAGGAACCAGCTCACTTCAAATCCCCTTGTTCGTAGAGTTGATTTCAGCCCTGAATTGTTCAAAGCAACTAGTCGTCATAGAGAACCCGGTGTTTCCCAAACGCACCAGAGCCCTAGACGAAACCCTGCTGCGCGTTACCTTCGCACGAGCCCTCCGCGTACCCAGCGGCCATCGGTCGGCCTCCGTGGCTTCCTGGAGGCTCTGCCTCTCCACGCGCACCGCCTCAGGCGCGCGAGCGCGTGGCAAACCCGGAGCCCCGGAAGATGGGGCCGAGGTCAAAACGAAGGCCACACGGAATCAGGTGGTTTGAACTTACTTGAGACATGGCTTTTCTTTTTGAACTAACTTGGCTTGAGACATTTCCGTGCGGGATCTCTCTCGTTCAAGGCATATACTTCGTTCAGAGGTCCCTTGCAACAGCTCTTGGCATTCCACCCGCGGTGAATCATGGTCGCAGCCAGGTGGCACTTTGCATTCTGTCCCCTGGTACTTCGTGATTAGTTTGCTGAAACGAGATAGCAAGTCAATGACTGCCCTCAAACGTCTGCCAGAGGATCTCTTTGCCAATCAGGTCGCACCTCTTTCTTCCTCTACCCTTTTCAGCAGCGGGCATCTTCCAAACATGTGAGCCCATTCTTTTTTAACATGCCATTTAAACGACCTCCTTTTGGTGTGTCCCTTCAAAAGGGCCGACTCGGGTTTGATTGTCTCAACAAAAAATGAGCCAACCCTGGCTGGACCCTCCCAAATGGGTAACATACATGGAAACCGAAGCCCATGTGTAAGGTTCATTTCCCCTGGATAGCGGCCCCGTACTCGATCCGAGAAAGAAACAAAAGGAGAAATAGAACCTCCTACTCGGACCGGGCGCTCTGCTGCACAGAAGCCCCTGCTCGATTTGGAATTTAGGTTTTCCCATTTCGGAAGGGGAGTCGGACCCGGAGAACTTTGGGGGGAGCATCCAAAAAGCCACCAGGCTCTACGTTGATTCCCAACATCGACGTCGGAACAGTCTTCTACCAAGGATGTGACTTACCCCGAAGTGTGTCTCAAATAGGGGACCCGGAAAATGATTGCATTCGTGTTGGTGTCGCTTCAAAACCAACAGAAAGGGAGACGAACTCCCACCAAAAAAAGCCAGACACAACCCCGCCGGGAAATGGACAACGACATCCTAGCGGCCTTTCCGCGTCCATCCTTTTGAGCCACGCCCAACAAAAAAATCTCGCCTTTGCCCCCCGCCACCCGCCAGCCGGCCAGACATGGCCAGACCCCCGCCGGACAAATCGGCAAATCGGCCTCCTGCTCCCGCATCTCCAGGATCTCCAGGTCCGCCGCCTCCTCGATGGACATGGTGGCCATGGGGTGCGGGCACCGGAACACCTGGACGACTGGGCGACTGGGCGACTGGCACTCAGGCGGGGGGTGGCGAAACGGGGGCAGTACAAAAAACTGCTCCGCCGGGGCCGGAAAAAACCGAGCCGTTCTTGGAGTGACCCCAAAGTGGGGGGGGGGGGGGGAATTGGGGAACTTCACTGGTCGCTTCTGATTTTTTACATCTGCTCCATTGGATTTCCATTGGCCCGAAAAACCGCCACGGGGCGGCCCCGTTTTTGAGGAATCCCGGCGACATGGCACCAACGCATCAGCGAAGAGGTGCACCAGTTGGGATGGACATGTTTTTGGCGTCCATCCAGTTGGGATGGATGAAGCCCCATTGGGATAAACCACCAAATCGATTTTGTGGTGTCGATTTTGCCACAACAATCTTGATGGTATCGTTGTGGTGTTGCGGCATGGGATGGCTCTTTTCCCCGTTGGGCATGTAGTTGTTTGCAGAGCTCTCCTGCCTGCTGCCTGCCGCCTGCCTGCTGTCTGTCTGTCCGTCTGTCTGCCTGTCTGTCTTGAGGACAATGCATAGGGAAGTCAACCTGTTCGCCTTTTTGAGTGCGGCCCTTGAGATAGGGCATGATAAAGGGGGATGGGATGCCAAGGAGAATTCAACAATTTTTTGAGATGAACCCGGTGGACAATTGGCGTCTTTGCCCAAAAGAAGCTCTGTGGTGAGAACTTGCCTTTTCGCGTCGGTTTGGGAGCGTGCCAGTCGCAAGGTTCTGGGGCGCTTGGTGCGTTTTTTGTTTAAAGGATTCCGCAAGAAAAATATGCAGGTGTGTACCTTTCGCATTGTTCAGCAAACTCCATGCATGAGACCGGCAGGCTCAGGTGGTATCCCACCCCCACCAAGGCGCCATCTCCCGGTAGAGACGCTGCAGCTCCGACCGGTCCTGTCGAACTCGACTCGCTCGGCCGTCGAGGAAGCGCCGAAGTCAAAGGACGAACCCAAGTCGTGGGCTACGGAAACAGAAGCCAAAAGGAAGCAACTTTTGAGGGTGCCCGCCCTTTTTGAGAAACGTGTGTGTGGTTAAATATATATATATATATATATATATATATATGTGGCACCCCCCCTGGATTACTCAGGTTTTTGGCCAGAAATTGACATTTTGTCTGTAAAAATGCATGCAAAACACACGTGCCAGCTTCTAAAATGAGGCTCTAAAAACGCTTTCCTTTTTAGACTTAACTTCTAGCATCAATACTTCGTGCAGTCCAGGATGTGCTAGCACGTGCTACCACATCCTGGATTGAAGATTGAAGACTGAAGATTCTCTGACAACTCTCCCTGGGATTCTTCAATCTTCAATCTTCAATCCAGGATGTGCTAGCACATATCAGTTTGTCCCAAGGATGGGTTGAAGATTTGCAAAACAAGTGGTCTGAGAATCTTCAATCTTGAGCCCAGGATGTGCTAGCACGTTCTAGCACATCCTGGATTGCTCTAAGTACATATTTGGAGAATGTCAGAAAGAGTTGTCAGAGAATCTTCAATCTTCAATCCAGATCCTGGATTGCCCTAAGTGCGGATTTGAGGAATCCAAGCAGCAGACCGGGAGTGCACGTTGTCAGAATCAAATCGTGGATGTGCACTTGCACTGCCTGCATTTGGCCAGGGGGAAACCTTTACAGGTTTTTGTGGACTTGAAGGCTGGCCAGGATGAAAGATTCTCAAATAGAAAATCTGGTAGATCTTCAATCCTCAATGCACGGGGCGAAACCTTAATGAGTCTAGAACAAGCTGTCAAGTTTTTGGGGGACCCGGATTGAGGATGCGCTAAACATATGTTTGTGGATTCTTGTATATTCGATCTTTGATCCAGGGCAACACGAACTGAGCAAATGCTGAAAACACTGCGTTTAACAGCATCTATGCCAAGAATATGAACTATGATTGAAAACACGTTCCTGTCATTGGCTTGGCTCAGTTCTTGCTTGGTTCAAACCACATGGAGTTCGATAAGGACAGTAACCCTTTCAAGATTGAGTTTGATTCCAAATTCATTTGGCCATGACAATAGCTATCTTCTCCAGAGATTTTTGAATGGCACAAGAAACAGCAAACGAGTAAACTTGAGTTTGGTTTGAACTCGAAAGCGTTTTAAACTGGATATCCTTCCCTTACTTGAATTTCAACTTTCACAAGCAACACACACATGGATAGTTGCTTTGCAACATCTGTTTCACATAGCATGTCAGGAATTATGCACAACACTCGAGTTAACATGTAAATGTAACTGCGCAAGGACACTAAGTAGGAATGAGTTCCTTTTCCCCAAGTTGATGATTTGCCGAATTTCGCTGCCAAACACAATAACAAACACCAAATAATAGAGCTGCTACAGGCGCGTTGAAGCTGCCAAAACATACTTCGTGCACTACTCTTGTACTGAGCAGTTGTGTTTTTTGAGCTGGAGCTGCCAAAGTGCACTTTGCATACTCCAATGTGACTTTGTGCACTTCGCGCACGCCAATGTGAGGGTCACACAACTCGCAACTCCTAATCAACGTTGAGCTTAACTTCTGCTTGGTTGGAAGTTGCATGGAGTCGAGCGTCCAGTCAGTTCATTTCAGAGTCTCAACCCCCAGTCTGGCCAAAAACCTCAGTTCTGGCCAAAAACCTGAGTATTTCGAAGGGGGGGTAGCAAATATGTGTGTATATATATATATATATATATACATATGGGGTTTGTCAAGGGGAACCTCTGGAAATGCATTTCTCGGTCTTCCCGTGTGTTCAACTCAGACGGGCATGTTGGTGTCACTTTGCCCTACAGAAATAAGATGCCCTTCCTCCAACAATGCTGGAAGCTGACGATCGGAGGGTTCTGGAAGACGAACGCGTTACTGTTGGGAAGCCCAAAAAATCAACTTCCATGATTGTTGGAAAGAGGATTTCCCCGCCTGTAGGCCTCATGAAGGCTTCTATAACCCATCTGTAACCACTAATTTTGGGGTATGTCCATTTTGGGTATGTAAGCTCGCTCTTAGACGGACACAAACATACCAACTCCAACGACATGTTGCATTTCATACTTGACCATGAAACCCAACCGGTCCTTTGTGCTTTGGGGCCTTACCACCTACAATGTTGGCCAATTTCAGGATTGTGGGCACTTTGGCTTGAACTGGACATGGACCGCCCCAATTTTTCGGGTCCATAAGTGTTTGATTCAACCACTGGTAGAGCCAACTGGCCTCATTACTTTACCACAATCAAAGTCACCCCGTTCAGTGGTGGGTTAAGGGAAACAACCCCATCTTCTGACTTTGATAACTTCCAGAAACCATCAAAATAATGACCCAGACCAAAGGTCCACAAAAGCCGGCGCGGGCTTCCGGATGCTTCCCCCCTGCCCCGGCTTCGCCTTTCAGAAGCAGCTCCAGTTGCGGGGCATCGAAAGCCCGAGACACATATGAAGGGTAAAACCCTCTAGGGGTACCTTCCATTTCCATTCTTTCCAGGGATCCGAGTCTTTCTAGAAAACCTCCGGAAACCCAGCGAAAACGGCCGGATTTCTTGGAAAGAACGATTGAAAAGAAGCGGGAATCAAGCCCTAGAACTTGGCGGGAATCACCCCCTCCCCCATAAAACACACCAATAGGAAACGAGCTCTTTTGTTCCCCCGAGGGTTGTTCGAGGCGATGTGCTTCTTCTTTGGGACCTTTGAGGTGGAAGCAGTCCAGAATGCGGACTTACCCAGACCCAGAAATACAAGGCGATCACCGTGGGCCATGACCCAAACGGGAAGAAAAGAAAGGATGGAAAAGTGGGGCTTATGCTTTTGCGAGTGTCAGAAACATCAAACCCGCCTGGATCTTGACGAAGTAGGGCTTCTCCGCCGGTGGGGGCTTTGCGGGCCCCTTGCCGGGCCCGCCGCGGGCCTGGAATCCACATAGCGGCGCGCCGGGATAGCGACAACTGTTTTCTTTTGTTTTCCGTTTAAAGCCACGCAAATGTGTACCCTCAAACAAACCCGACACCGGGATAGCGGCATCACTGTGCTCACCATGCGATCGCCGTGATGAGATCGCGGGAGGAAACGAGAGCTGGCCCTCACTCTGCGACAAGACGGGGGACATGCGCAACCCCCCCCCCCAACATACAGTGCACTTCATCACACACACACACACACACACACAGTCAACATTCAAAATTACACCAGCATAGACCCCAGAGAGCAAGGATTGCACACCAACACCTCGATCGCACCCCCTCCCTCCGAAGAGTGCCCCAAACAGCACCCGGCCACAGCACCTCCAACAACACCCCAAACAGCAACCCCAAACAGCACCTACACCAGCACCCCAAACTGCACGCCCCCTAGTACCAGCCCGGCACAAATCACCCCTCTTTATTAGAAGTAAACCCCTATAGCTTTCAGCTATCTGGGGAACAAAGGAGTTGTTCGAACCAAAGCATTACAAAACATGGAACTTGAGTCGAGGAAACCTCTGAAAGGAACCTTGGATCCATCTCACTTGCAGCTTTCCATATCCCATGTTGAAAACCCATCATCTTTGTCCGGGCATTCGGGTGCGACCGTTCACAACCCGTTTAGGAAACCGCGAATCCGTATGCCAACCGCAAATCCCAAGAACCGAACTGCAAGGCAACGCGCTTCAAGACCAATCCTAGCGACGGAGTCACAAGAGAGACGGATCGGATTTGCACCCTCACAGCCAAGAGCTGAATTGGAGCAGAGTCGAACTCGGGGCGTGCCAAAACAAACAAAACAAACGTTCTCTTGAGTTACTCTCTAAAAGGCTTGAACCCAGGGGTGGTTTATGTACATTACATTACACTACATGTTGGTATTCTAGCAACCGCCGGTTTGAGGAACCCCCCCCCCCCCTGAATTTTGACACATAATGTTGACCCGAATCAATCAACGCCTGGTTGCCACTTTTGGAGGGAACGCCTTGCTATGAAAGGACGCATTCATGAATCCGGGGTCAACTTTACCCGAGCTGCGATCATCATCTCCAGCAGCGGCATCTCCTGCTGGGCGGACAGGATGTTGTCCGGCACCTCGCCGACAGAATTTGCACAACAGGGAGCGCTCCTTCGTTGCGACAGCGTTTGCCCAACCCAAAATGATGGTGTTTCTACTTCTGCGCTTGCCGAACCCAAAATGAGATGTTTGATATTGTCGTCCACAGTCAGCCTCCTTTGGAATGGAACATTGCAAGTCCCCGACCGAGTGTTGCAAGGAAACCAAGATGACCGGCCGATCAATCCTCAGCGGAAAGCCGAAAGCGCTGGGGCTTTTCCAAATGTTTTTTCACTTTCAAGAGAAGCCCATTTACAAGTTGATGAATTGGGTGTGGCTCAAAAGGCAAACCGCAGGTGTTGGCAACCAGGTTTCCACTTACCGATCGGGCAACCCATTTTGGAATTCCGGTTTTTTGGTTGCCACCGCCAATGGTTTTGTCCAAACTCCAAACCCCGCGGGTTTGACCACGCTGAAAAATCGAGACCTGCCCAAGTGCTTAACCGAACAGGGCACTGCGAGTGCATTTATCCGAACACAAATGCATGGATTTTGCAGAAGAGAACCAGACATACCCAAAGAATATTTACTCACGCACTCCCCAGGCCCTCACTTATAACTCCAAACCACGCCTACCCTTTGCGCCTCCCTGCCCGAGAATCCCTGGTCGTCCAAGACGCAGAGGCCACAGCCCTGCCCAACAGCATCAAAATCAGCTCACGCTCCTCGGCGAAAAAACAAAAAGCGAAGGGACACCGAAGAGAAACATGGGAAACGTGGGCCAAAAATGGGGTAACCCCAAGTGGGTTGCCCGATCGGTAAATGGGTTACCCATGACTCAAATTCTGCGGTCCATATCCTGGTCTCAATTAATCTCAATGGCAGCGGCTCCACCTTGGTATACGGAAGCAAAGACCGGAAAACCTGCAGCGCAGGCGCCAGGCTTTTTTTCTCTTTTGGAACGCCACACCCATTGGTTTATTCAGCTTCCCACTTGGCGGTTTGGAGCCCGGTGCTTTGGGAGGTTCCCATTCCTCTGCAAAAGCCAGGGGTTCAAATCCAAATCCAAACCACCAGCTAAGGGTTGCTTGATTTATGGCTTATGGCTTATGGCTGAGAGGCCTTATGGAAATATCCTGAAACATCCTCTGAGGGAAACATCCGTCATTGGGCTTTGTAGGGAAACCGCGAAAACAAAAAAAAAACATGGGAAACCAACCAATTATTGGCTTCATTTGGGCAAGAGTCAGGATTGGGAACCGAGATGCAAGAACGGAAACCAAAAGAAAACCCAAATGAAAGCCAACCAAGCCAACCAAGCCAACCAAGCCAACCAAGCAAACCAAGCAAACCAAGCAAACCAAGCAAACCAGGCAAAACCAACCAGCCCAACCAGCCCAACCAAACCAACGAAACCTGGCCAGCACAGGCCACCACCACCGGTTTCAAAGACGGAGGCTGCTCGTTTTTCCCCAAAGTTGAACCCTGTTTTGGGGGTGGTTGAAAGGGAAACCTGGAATTTCAAACATAAACACTTGTTAGGCAGGTGGGTTGAACCGGAAAATATTGTGTTGTTAAAACAAAGCGTTATATTTGAGGGTTTGCCGCCAACCTCAAACCTTCCAAAACGCCCAAGGCGCCATCTCTTCGTCAAAAGCGCTTCCAGCTCCCCATTGGTACTCATCACCCAGGTCCTCCCGCTTCTTGCTAAACCTCAAGCGAGCACGGCCCTCGAAAGAAACCCTAGATGAGGGATTCCTTGTCAAAATGCGCGCAGGAGCCCTTTCACGTACTGGCCGCCGTTTATGTCAAACAAGAACTTTTATGCCCCCTTCTTGTGTACCCCTCCCCCCTTCTTCTGTAACTCTCCCTTTCTTTCTAGCCCTCCACCTTTGCCTTGCCCTCCATCTTTTCTTTGTCAACCCAAAAAAGCAAAGGGGGCCCCCAGCCACATGCGTGTCTGCCTCATGTATCCCCATGCCCTAAGTTTACAGGTGGACATCGGGTGGGCGGTCCCTGGGTCGTGTTTGGGTTCCAGGACCCTAAGCCTGGGTCATGTCTTGTTTTTTGTTGGCTTGGGGTTGGTGTGGGGTTGCTTTAACCCGAGGGTGAGAAAAGCAATGCCTGGGGAGGGGAAAAAAGCCCGCGGGTGAAAAAAAACAAGGTTGATAACATAAGGCAGAGGGTGAAAAAGGCACAGTGAGAGCTGGACAAGAAAAAGGGTTTCTGAGTCACATGAGCCAAGTGATGTGGTCTATGTGCCGTTCGCACCCAGACCCCCCGTTTCCAAGCCAGAGCGACCGCGCGCAACCCGGTGCCGCCCGCCAACCCCGAAACTTCAAGGGGGTGTCTCTGCTTCTTGGACCCTCCAATATGCTTGCTTGTTGTCCCTTGAAAAAAAGACCACCAAAACCCTCTAAATGTTGTGCTTCCTTTTGGCTTCCCTTTTAAACCCACCAAAAACGGGTACCAACTCCATAATATATATATATATATAAAAAAAAAAAAAAAAACAGACCGCTTCAAGGCGCAGGTACGCCACCTTTTCGTCCAGCTCCTTGCAGCGCTTGTACCGCGCGATCTTCTCCTCCCGCTTGGCCGCTGCATCCGAGGGCTCCTCCAAATTCCGCGGCTCGGGTCGCGGCTCGCGGCTCGGGTCACACAGCTCGGGGGCTCAACGAAAAGGGTGGGTTTTTCTCGAGTTCAGAGGTTCGGGGTATCTTCCCGTTTGGTCCGAGGCATTGATGGTCCACCTCTTTGCAAGAGGCACGTTGTTTCCAGAAGCAGTTCAATTTGAGGGTGCCCTTTTGGAGTGGTTTCAAGGGAGAAAGGGCAAACCCACCATGTCGAATCCAACAAACTCAGACCCAAACCAAACCAACATGGTGGTTTCTGGTGACCTGTTTCACACCAAACCAAAAACATCCCCCCTCCTCCCTCCCCCTTCCCTCCCCCCACCCTCCCCCCCTTCCCTCCCCCAAGCCCCAAGCCGCGTCCCGCTCGCGGTCCATGGCCGCGAAATCCGCGGCGTGGCCCAGCTTCAGGCGCTGGCAGTCTGCCGCGAAGGCGCCTCGGATACCCATACCAAGGTTCCAAAATGGTCATGGGTTATGGGGACCTGTTCAATCCGTTTGTTTGACAAACATATATATATATATACACATATGCATACATAGATATATATTTGTTTGCGGTG